GCCTTGAAACTGTTACCATAATACACATGATAACAGACGCCAAACTATGATTTTCCCAGCCAAGGTGCATAGGTACATTGAATTTTTTAAGTAATACCAACGTGTGGAGAAAGAATTTGAATTTGCACCGAAATGAGCACGGTAGAAGCAGCAATGTTTTAAATTATGTGCGGAACTCTTTATGCGCACATTCTATCAGTCGTCAAAAAAAGTCAAATAAAAGTTGTCAAAATCAAATTCTAAACTCAATTGTAAACTTCTGTCAGGAATGCTTTCGTGAAAGGATGATAATGAGGTAAGTTCACATCATTTCAATATTTTCTTAAATATTCATAGCAAAGTCAGGCGATTCGTCGGAATAGGTACGCTATAACATAAAACAAATTAAGAAATAGAGAAATACTTCCCATTTCATTCCAGTGGAAAGCAATCATCTAAAGATTAGGATCTAAAGAGAATCATCTAAATACTTTCAAGTTTCGCATATGAAATATAAAATGACACAGAATTCGAGAGCGAGCGTCAAGATTTAAACCGTACCAAAGCACATTTGACGTTCCTTCCTCGTATGACAGCTGAGCGGGTAGAATTTCTCAACTGAAAATCAGCAACGGCCGACCGTTGGCCATCGTTTCACGCCTATAAAATGTCTGTTATTTTAGACTGGCATTAGCGACCAGCACGTCAGACGAGCTCATCAGTTGACCAATTGAATTATCATGACAGCTAAAACAGACTTGGCGTGTGTTAGATAAACCGAAAGTAGAGAAGTGATCTTGGTACGCGCGAGAAGAGAAGACAACAAACGTACTTCGTGTTGATTAACTCAGTTAAGTCCTCAGAAAGATCAAAGAAACTCCTCCGATCACAATAGAATTAGTTTCGATCACCTTTAGGCAAAAAATGACGAAAAATCAAAATAGTTGATGGATGCGACTTTTAGAGGCGCGGGGGCGGATAAAACCAAGAGTTGAAGCAAATTCTTCGATGGTATGAATGAGATATGAATGATGGAACCTAATATGGAATCATCACATTATAATAAATATAGCTACCGCACGGAGATTATAAGAAGCGCACTCGCAACATGTTTTATTCGATGTTCGGTATCGTTGTTAGCTGAATTCGGGTACTATAATTGAGTGTTTGATTCATTGGTGATTACAATTGCCCGTTTCAATTATGCGTTATACATACAATCAAGCTCCGAAAAATAATCGAATGTCGCTCTTAAATAGGAACGAAGCCGCTTACCCATCACTGATGAAATTGCATAAAAATTACGTATAACAAACTCTGATAAAAAATGTAAATCTTTGATGAAAACTGAAAAATGTAAATTCGCCCCATGGAACTGATTTTTGAAGTTAGTTATTAGAACGAACATTAAAGTATGTGAGATTGATTTATACATTTATTGAATTTTACATTCAGCTCTTAGTCCAACAAAGAAATGCTCGACTAATCACTGACACTAAGCCCGATCCTTCAATAAAGAAATAACACACACTTCACGCCATAGCTTATATACCGTACGTGTAAACTGTAAACCCCATCGTCGTAAACCCGTCCTCCGCCCTCGGGCAAAGAGCGGTCACTCAAGACGGTAAAAGTTACCGTAGTAAGTGTAAACTATTCATATCTACTTAAAGCTTTGCAGTATTATACGTTTCAGTAGCGTGGTGTCGGGTGTTCAATTTTTCACGTGGTGAGATTAAGTTGTGTGGCTGTGTTGGATGCTTTACGGCGCGATTAAATTTTATGATAATGTTGGGTGATCATGTGTAGAAATTAGGTTTATGATTATTATATTGAGTGATCATGTTGAACGAATATGTTATGTGACAAAGCTGCACAGTAGGGTTCAGCGCCTACGTTGCATTATTATGTTAGATCGTTATGTCGGGTGTTGTTTTGCATATTTACACAGATTGAAGGCGTTACAGACTCATTTCGTACGCTTATTTTGCATAATTATACATCGATTTTACAAACTAAGATGTAGTGCGATCATCCTTCAGCAATACATTATGCAGCCTTTATAGCACCCGCATCCTCGATGTCGGTTCTCCATGACGTTGTACAATGCGGGCTACCAGCATGAATCACATTATAGTAAATCGTTACCGCAAGGAGACTACACCATCGCATGCATCATCAAGTAGAAATACTGTATCAATAAGGAGGAGAGAGTCATGAAACGGACAAGTGAATGCGATAAGAAAGTATACATTTCAGCGAAAGCTGATAATCTTACATAATCTTACGAAGTCCGAAGGACCGCCAAAAGCAAAAAAAAAAACACACCAAAGCTTTAGATTTCCGACCGATAACTACGCCGATGTAAACACGTCAGCCGATCACCATTCGAATTAACTTCAAAATTGCGATAGTGCAGCCAGTAGACACGATCATCATAGAACTTGCTATCGCCGTAAGAGTTTCGCATGAGTGGCATAAGAAGCAGTTCGTTGACATATTGTGGTACTTGTAAGATAAGAGGTACTTATGAGATTAGGTTTAAAATCATATCCTCTTACCCTATAAATCTTTACCCATATCAACCAAATCGCGATCAACATTGGTAAGGAGACGCTCGAACTCACATTGGATAGGAAAACGACTTCTTTTGCGCACTAGGTAGCTTTCATAGGTTTTTCATTGCAACGAATATCTGAATAAAAAAATATAATATACCGATTACCGATTAATACCTTATACTAACAACAAATTTATCATCATGAATATTACGTATGATAAAGAGTATCATCAAAAAAGAGTATTATTATTATAACTGTAGCTGAGCGCTCCAAAATTCACAATTGGTTATCAAAACATTTACTGTACCTATAGTTTGGATGCATATTTCATCGTTTGGCGGGCTTAGTTTGAATCCAGAATTAATGGCCTTTAGGCTGCAAAAGTTACATTACCCCAAATATCTCAAACTATTTACTTCTAACAAACTACAACTTAAACCATTTACTTCCGACAACTTTCTGCTTGATGCTTGATTCAAGTTAACCCCTAGATGGGCTGAAGGGAAGTGAGCCGTATATAAATTGAAATATGTATGTTACAAATTGATTTTGATTATCTTGACTTTAGAAGTTTCATATCTCCGGAAAATTGGTAACTTATACAGTTTCAGCAGAACAACCAGGAATAGTTTACTGTGACTGTCGATTACCTATTCTCGAAGGTGTTCGTAACAGCACGGACACTATTTTTAGCGCATTTTCTCATTTATGGAAAAAATGCACTATTGTGCTCGCCATGTCCGTCCGTCCGTCTGTCTGTCTGTCCGTCTGTCCGTGACCTCAAGTTTTCGTCGATGAGAAAATGCGCTCTCTGTCACTCACTGCAGTGAGTACTGAGTTGAATTTTTTTTACCTTTCAAGCATCGTAAATTATTTAGGTTGGGTGTAGAACATATAGGATATGTTCATGCCCAGTGTTCTCAGGTCAATAGTTACCCCCCAGCTGGTTGACAAGCCGTAATTGTGCACTCCAATTAGATTTTAGTGAAATTGAAGTTCTGTGGTGATGTTGCGATTGAATAAGGATATCTTTTGGGGGCAGATGTTTGTGTTTGAATGCTAACATGAGCGTTATGGACCAGATGGACCTTCACCGGTGCTTGCAAGCAAGGTTTGGAAATCTTAGCTTCCTAAAGCGATTAAATAATTCAAATAACATTCAAATTTTAAAAAATATCCTATTTACTAAATACCGACCCCTGCTTTGTCACAAAAATCTATGCGTAGAAACAGATGGACGGAACACAGCTTTGAGGTGAACGTTGATTATTCGAGATTCACGGTCAGTGATTTCAATTCAAGATCAGAAAACAATTTTTGGTCGAGGTTTTCGACAATTCGAGACGAAGTGGTTTGAAGATCAGCTGGGACGCAGATCATTCAAATTAGAATCTTATCTGTGTCCCATTGTAATGTGCATCGAAGTGTAATTCAAGTAGAGATCAGTTGAACATCATTTGAGGAGTGATAATTTCGAGATAAAATCATTCGTGGCTGTATAATCACGAAGCAAAATGATCTGTAGATCATCACAGCCTCAGGCGACGCTGGCCGTTCCTGAAACGCTTGAACAGAAACTCCAAAAACGTGGATCTTTTTGCGACCGGGAAAGACTTCTTGGCATCGAAAAAAAGTTTCTAACGGTGAGTATGGATTACTTTTCAGTTTTTACAACGTAGATTTAGCAATATGGTATTGCACAACAATGGGGTTGCTGTACAATATCTCAAATGTGATCAATAAATATGGTCCTATCAATATTTTCAAGCTATTCTTCTGAGCATTGAGCGATGGCTCTTGCTTGACACATTTGCTGAAGAGGAATATAAGGATAAACTATTATGATTAGCAATATCGGTAAGTTGTTCTGGTAATTAAATTGGTGGACATGCGATGTTTATGAATGATTATTACATGCACGATAATTTCTATACTTCGATTTTAACAATAAGAGTATTCTTTTCTGATACCGATTCAACTAAATTGCATTGTGGTCAACATTAAAACCGGAAAGATTAACCTGAAATTATATTTTTGTATACAAAGAAACCTTCATGAAAAGAGGAGCTCACTAGTATCAATATCACTGACCTTATTCAATTGTTTTTTCGCTTTGCGGAAATGCAGACTTGAATGATCACAGAAAATATGTCAGACGTCAGTGCCTATATAGCGTTAGTTAATGGGGGCTCGCCTGAAAATCATTCAGCCCGGGAGTTGGGTGGTGAGTTGTTAGCGGAGTATAATTAATTATATGTTCCATCGTGTCATTCAATGAAGACATTGTGTAAATATTTGCAAGCGTCAACAAACCTTTTCAAAAACTTCAAGTGGTAGCAATCAGCGGTACGTAGCAATTACTTTAAGATATAATTGTTACTTAGAATGGAATGAATGCGATGTCATCCCTAAATATAACATTAACCGGATTACGACCGGTTAAAAACTGAAATATCTCACCTTTGTTAGGATGGAACGGCGACTTTTCGTCGCTAGGAATGATGAAAATAGGGATGATGCCAGCAATACCGATGATTATAGATGCAGTGACTGAGCACACCCAGGGCTGGGTGATGTGGATCTTCCATTCGTACGGCAAATGCAAGACGATCTCTCGCGCATCTTCCCACATCGCGCGTCTCTTGCTTATCAATTATCGCGGCCGTGGCTGGGAACTGTCGACCTGCAACGTAGATCAGTGTCACTGAATATCTTATACCGAAAATATAATAAAATAATTCAACTCAGCAACAAAGGATCGGATACCTCGACATAAAAACGATAATCGATAAGCGGTGTTATAGAAAATCAGATTTTCTGTTTGAAAAATAAAATCACTTGGATTTATTCTCGAAAAGTGAACCAAATTTGGTGCACTTTACAGACTCCAGGGAGTGTATGGGTCTTTACAATAGAGTTGAGATACGTTCATCCACCAATTTACGATCAACTGGAGTTACGGTGATCACGGAACTTACGATGATTATGACTTATTTTCATCACAGAAGTTACGATCATCATTATTTAAGTTAGTTACTTGAATGTTACTTGCAAAATAATTGGCCCATCAAAGATCAATCAAACTACATACCTTGATTGGCGCTCGTAAAAATATTTGGAGTCGACATATATATCCGCTTATCTATACACCAACTAGTGACGTATTCCTCAACAGTAACTTGTGACGTATTCCTCAACACTAACTAATAACTTATTCCACAACACTAATGACGTATTCTTCAACACTAGCTAGCGACGTATTCCTCGACATTAATTAGTGATTTTTTCCTCAACAATAACTATAGTAGCTATTTCTATATACTGACTATCGACATATTCCTCAACAGCAACTAGTGATGTATTCCTCAACAGTAACTAGTGAGGTGTTCCTCAATACTAACTATACTGACGTATTCGTCAACAATAACTAATCACTGCTCTTATTCCCCTGACATGTGACGTACGACGCGTCCTATACATTAACTAGTGACATTAACACTAACTAGTGACGTGTCCTATATGGTATTAATACAGTTCAGATTTCTGGACTCATCATTATTTTAATCATTTAATTAAAACAATAAATATAATAACTACTTAAACGTATGGAGATAAACAGTTGGAACCTGGCCTGTGATATTGAAGATCAAAATCATGTGCATGAAATGATCGGAAGGTCGCGGTGAAAATTTCCACCAATTAAAGAAGTCAACAGGCAAACTTTGTGTTCATTTCTGTATATCTGTTGAGTAAGAGAATTACTTTATTATACCATATTTTATTCTCAAAAAAGTCCATTAATAATGATAGAGAATAGAACAACGATCAAGGGTTTCATGCAAGGTATTTTTCTGCACATTGACGGCCAGATGACTGATATAAAGATGCTCATAAGATAACAATATGAAGAGCCGCGATACGGGGTATCAATGATTGTCGACTCAGTGTATGGATCAGCCTGCATAGTGACCGCTAAACATTACGTCTAGGTTATCTATTAAAGTGATTACAGCCGCTTATCAATCAAATAATTTACACCAATAAGTAGTAAAATAATTAAGGAATCAAGTAATGTATATTTGTTCTCTTACGCGATGAAAGCCAGTAGTTTACATAATAGCCAAATAACCATTATATCAGTGCTTCAAAATAAAAGTATCAATTGGGTTTTCGGTACGGGAAAAATTTATGCAAACATGGGGATTCATTGTTATAAAAAAATTTAATTTTATGGAAACGAAGCTTAAATTTATTTCGATACGTACATATATTTGTTTATGCATGTTTGAACACAAACTTCTTCCATGTTTTGGGAGATACTGTATTGATTGTGTTCAAATTAACCTTCCTTAGAAAGCAAGTAAATCTTCTTGAAATTTTAGTAACAAAATTTTTGTGACCAAATAAACGCAATGCATGATCCTTTACACATACTTTTATTAGTCGTTATCATCCTCACCATCAGAGCATTACTTAAGTACGATTTAAGCTATAAACAATATTTCTGCAAGATATGCCATATAGCCGCCGATGTCACACTTCATATTAGTTCAATTCACCAGTACGATCAAGTTATACGAGTACATGATAGATACCTATAGCCACCATCATACTTGCCATCAGAGCATTACAACAGTATAATGTGATCTATACACAATTATTGTACGTATCGCAGCTTTTACACTTGACTTCAGTTAGCATTACAAAAGTACGATGTAAGATACATAAGATATCTACTTTGTGCTTTAATTATAATTTTCCGAGTATAGCACCATAGATCAACATGATGGAAAATCACCATAGTTAAATTAATATTGATCTCGGGTCGTTTGATAACATTCAGCCAATTTTAACAATTGGTTTACATAAGAATACAATAGCAAACTATGCGATGTGCGTTATACATAAACCATGAGCCCAGATTGAATTATTGTCATTGCAACGGCAATTCGTAACGTAGAAAGGCCAACGAATCGTACGGAAAATTTCCGAGCATCACGACCACGCGGCAACTAAAGAGAGTCCTCTGAGTAGTAATTCCATGTGCTCAATCATTTTGCGACAGAGTATGTGATTTATGAAAAAATTAAATATGGTGCTAACGATTATCTTGATCGCGAGAATTGAAAGACAAGCTCTGAATAGATCGACAACTGCAGTCGAACACACCACAATAATAGGTCTAAAATACAGCAATTTCTTGTGCTTTCTGGGGCTCGTACATCAGTCGCGATAATTTGCCATTTCATCAAAAGTAAACACAAAGTAAGTCTTAGGTTGTACGTTGTTTATTTTGCTGAGCTGGTGCCGCTTGAGGGTAAAGTGATTTCAGCATAGAAAAGCCTGCTTATCACAATCAGTGCCGTGATTGCAGAAGTACTCGATCTCTCATTCTTATCTTGGTCGGGTTTCTGGCCTTTAAGATGACCAAACGTCGAGTCTCCACCCTCAGTGAAAACCATGATAAGCTTCACATGTGCTGCGAAACGGCCAACAGCCAGCCGTTCATAAATCACAAAAGATGATTAGTTACAGTTTATTTTTAACCACTAGACTATTTTCTCGTAAATTCGTTTAAAATTTTCTTCCTTAACTACACATCTTCCACAGTTTAACATGGAACTTCACTATAATCGATAATTTTCATCGGACCCTACCTATAGGACCAGCGGAAAGTATTTAGCTGCAAATTCAGGAAGAGAGTCACTAAAATCATGTTCGGTAGCATTTTATTGAAGCTCGTCATTGATGAATCCAACACAGCAGATTAGATCATCAAACATGTTCAGTACCTGCTATGATATTGATGTTTCTGGTAGGCTAGCTTTCTACACTTCATGTCATCGGTATTTCTGCTATGATCAATTCGTACACGTAATGGCTTCATAGAATTTACTAAAAAAAATTCGTAAACAAAATGAAATAAATGTATCTGAAGTATCACTTCGTGCAAGTCATGTCATCAGTGTATCTGCTAAGATCACTTCGTAAATACCACTGCATCAGTGTATCTGCTAATATCACTTCGTGCAAGCCATGCCATCAGTGTATCTGCTAATATCACATCGTAAATACTACTACATCAATGCATCTGCTAATATTACTTCCTAAATGCCACTACATCAGTGTATTTGCTAATATCACTTCGTACACACAATAGCTTCAGTATATACAGTATGCTAGGATCAAAAAACAAACATCAACATTCAGCCCTTATATGGTACGTAACTGCGTCGGGAAACACATTGCCATATTAAATGCAAACACTCCCATTCATGTCTATCTGCCTCCATTGATTCACAATTATATAATGCACCCCTCTTGAAATCTTATCTGTTTACATAGATCTGAGACAATAATTTTATATGGCTTTCGCCCCGAACACTGTTTCAAACATTTAATATCATTGGGAGCGACTCCTATACCAATATTTATGCCTTATTTTAACCATAAAATGATCAGAGTACCTAATGTTACAAAACCCACTGGCGATGTCCACATGCGATTGCAAGGTCTGGTTCACTGGTCGATTGTAAAGCGCCCTCGGCATCGGCTGCTCGCGCAACTCGTGTTTCGCACGACACCTTCGCTAAGCCAATGCAACAATTTGCACCGGAATATTTTTTTAACGGTGAAAGATTCGTGTAATAAGGATGAAAGTCAGAAGCATACTAGATTTTATATGATATTTAAAAAATTGAATTTTCCTTTTTGTGTCATTTCTTAGCATTTTTAGGTTAAATTTGTCAGTGCAAAATTTATTGTCATAGCGCGATTTGTAAATATCAGTCGTTGTAGGCAGATAAATCTTGATTCTCCATGTTTCTAGTAGATAGCATCACTCGTGCAACGCCAGAGTTTTCATACAACTGCCGATGCTAGTCAAGCAGCTTCTGTATTACCTATGCAATGTTAAATGGTGTTCGCAAAATAGTTTCATTAATTTACTATTTAATTCTAATCGGGAATACTTAATAGAATTTTTTAGACGTCCATCAATTGATATGAACTGTTTAGAAAAACGGACTTCAGCGAGTCGAATCGAAAACCATGTATACTGAACTTAATCAGTCAGTAATCATCTCCTGACAACGGCACTGTTTATTTAAAACCTTCGATACAGACAATTTCGTTTTTGAATTTTCTTAAGGTCCCATCAATTATTCCGATCAATCTTAATTGTAATGTAAATGACGAATGGTCATAAAAATGTTGCGGTTGGTGAAGTGGAATGGTGTATCAATGTGATCATTATTTTTCGAACATTTCATCTTGGATGTTCTTTCTCAAATATTATTATTAATATTATTATTCTACGAAGCATTCATCGTGGCCTCTTTCAAACGAACGTCGAGGGCACGACACACATAAGATTAATAGTAAGCGAAAAATAAATAGACACAAGAAAGGATGGGAACGGATAAAATGACCAAGCACTAGATTCATAGGCTCTACGATTGATAGATTAAACTGATGCCCATTGAACTTCACATTTAGGTTAAAACATGGCACTCTATTACGATTTACGGGTGATATACCTGACACTATCATTATTCCTAGCAACAAACTCGGATTGACAGCTAAATAATATGGTGTAGGACCTTCATTTTGCCTTAGAGAGCATCTGTTGCACGGTCAGCAATCGCTCTTTAAGCTCGGATTCGTTACATCCGAAG